CTGAAATCATAGATTTTAACAACTTCAGTCAGCAGCTCTTCATAGCATTTACTTTAAAGAAGGGAGAAGATCTCTACCTTATCTATTGATAAAAAATGCAACTTAACAATTAAGACTCAAATAAAAATGGTGAAACAAAGTATCATACCATAAACTTAAAAGTCAAACAAGTCTTATTTCAAAGTTACCATGAATGTAGAAAAAACAACAAAAGTGTAAAACGAAACCTGAACTGTCCCTGAATCATCTCTTAGTGTCAAAAAGGCAAGCTTTCCAAATGCCCTTCTGGCAATAATTCTTCCCGCAACAGATACATGATCAATCTCACTATTTCTTTCCTCGCCATTTTCTAAATCACTATATATATTTTGCAGCTGATTAGCACCGTGAGTTTTGTCCCATCCATAAGCATAAGGATCAAGCCCCTTGCTTCTCAATTCTTCAACCTACAAACAACCGTAAAAAATAGTAAGCGTTTCTTCAAATGAGAAGGTAATCTCAAATTAAAGAGCATAAGTTTATTAGTCCTCTGACAAGCAAGTAAAGTACAACCAAAATCTATCACATTGTCCAAATCAAACTATCCATAATTGAAGAAAGAGTCACCCAATCCCACCCCAAGCAACAATATTGATAAGCAAGTATAGTCCAACCAAAATCTATCACATTGTCCAAATCAAACTATCCATAATTGAAGAAAGTCACCCAATCCCACCCCAAGCAACAATATTGATAACATGTAAACTATGTTCAATTTTCCATGATATACCCTAGCAAAAAAAAAAATGTTTCTAAATAAAATTAGTCTTAAAGAATAAAAAAGAGTAAAACAAAAGGATGGAATTCTCAAATCCTTCCCCCCCCCCCCCAAAAAATCAAATTTTCAAGCTTTTCTCTTTAACTTCCCTCCATAGTTTTCCAGAAACTTTAAACAGTTCGAGAAAACAAAATAATTTAGACAAGCAGATAACAAAATTAACTACAAAGCAATCAATCCTATATTGAAGTTCAACTAACAACCGCACAATGTGCATGTTTCAAATTCCAAACTCAACTTTAATTCAGCTTCATCGCATCGCTCACCACACACACAGAACACAGCAATTAAAAGAAAACAGAAGAAAACGACGATGTTGCAAGTGCTAGCGAAGCGAGAATCGCATACATACCTTCTTCAAGCGGATGGCTCGAACGGCGTCCCTGTCGGAGGTCGAAGTGGTTGACGGCGATGAAGAACTCCGGCGGTTTCTGCCGGCGGCTCTGGCGTCGGTGGTGGCGGAGGAAGAGCATGAGCGGAGAAGGAGCGTGCGAGGTGTTCGACGAAATGCGGGAGAGTGAAAGAAGTGTTTGAGAGGGTGACAAGATAGATTCCATAGTCTTAGCGCTTCCATTCTCTCTCACAATTGACTCCTCCCAAAATCTGTTAACGTGGACGACTATGATGTCATATACCACATAGAAAATTTTATTTTATCCTAAAAGTATTATTTAATAAATTTTTTAATAATATATTTTATATATTGTCTCATTTAAATACCTATTTTCATAATTAAATTCTGACTAATAGTTTATTATAATATACTTTTAATTTGTTGGCACTCTATTTCTATACCTGCATGCTTTTCTAAGCCTCTGTTTTCTTTTCCATTATTATTTTTTTTAGAGTGTTTATTGTTACTATTGTTTATTATCATACTTCATTTGATATTTTTATTTAAATATTATTAATAATAATTTAATTAATCAATAAAAATTATTAAAATTTATTGAAAAGAGTGTAGTAAGAGACATTTGGGTGTAAGTAGACACACCGTTATTTGCTGAAGTGAATATTTCATAGATCAATTATATAGTTAATTAAGTATGCAAGCATTAACTAAAAAAAATTAACTATTTAAGTTACCCAACAAATAATAATATATATTAATATCTTATATTTTATTTTGTTTTATCATTAATAAAAGATTAAATATACGCATAAAAGTGTATTTTATTTTCCTTTAGTTCTCTTACTATTTTGTTGCATGGATGACAAATGAGGATAAGATAATTTATTTGTTCAACTCTTTGCTTTTGCATTTTTGTATAAACAAATAGTTGATATAAGTTACTTGTCATAATCTTCTTTACATAGGGCTAGTTTCTTTATTATTTGATAACATGCTTTCTACTCGAACTGTTTTACCTGTAATTGTTTATACTAAAATACTTGATAGTCCACGGTTAAAATAAGTATAATAATTAAAGATTCAATTATAATTAAAAATTAAAATAGTATGTAAATTATATTTACTCTTATATTTTTAATAATTTAATATAAAAAATATTTTTTTATTAATTCAACCGTTAAATTATAATTATATTTTTATATTATTTTGTCAAATTTGATCAAAATTAAACATTTAAAATATTGTTATAAAAAAGTCTTTATTTTCATACATTTCAAAAAAATATTATATACGTTAATATTTTTATGTATATAAATAACATATCAAATAATTTTGAATAATTTTAAAGTTTGTAAATACAAGTTGTTAAACTTATTAGTATAAGTTAGATAATATTAAAAATAAAAAACACATTTAAATAGTCAAATTAATATAGTATCAAAGTTCTAAATTAAGTTAAAATTACACGTATAAGATTAAATATTCAAATTATAAGGTTATATAACACAAGTTTATGAAATGAATAACAAAAAATTTTAAACATATAAGTCATCATTTTTCTGGTTTTATCATCATCAATTTCATTTTCACTGTTATTATTATAGTTTTTTTTCCTCTAATGAAAGAAGTTCTTTAATATTAAAATTAAGGGCTAAATTTTCTTGTCAATTAAAGTTGGCCTTGAATTTTCAACTTCTTTACATCACTACTTTCATTTATTATAGATTGTTGTTTAAGTTGAGCAATATAATCTTCTAAGTATATATATTTTTTTAAAATCTTTTTATCTATATTTTTTAAATGTCTTCATATTCAATCTCATTATTTTCTACCTTAATGTCCACAATTTATCTTTTTTTTACATGATATTTCTTTAACGTCTTCAATAATTTCCATCATCAAATTTTTAACCCACTTAGATAATGCAGTAAAGGTTAAGTTAAGTGTCTTCTATAATTTTATTAAAGTTATGATTAAATTTAAATTTTTTTCCTAATTACTTTTTAATAGTAATTATATTTAACTCTTTTAACATTCCAATCAACATTTGTCTCTTGTTAGTGCTGCTTTATGCAACAGTGTTCATTGGTGCCTCTATTTCTTTCTTGTATCTCCCAATACGAGGAAGTCAAAGGGAGTGGAAAGGAGGTTCAAGACGATTTGGATGGGTACACCACTTGGGCATCGTTGTAGAAGAGAATTTCATTTGCTTCAAATCTGGTCATCACTTATGGGAATAGGAAAGCCTTCAAAAAAGGATTCAAACATCATCGTATGGAATGAAAAATGAGACTTGAGTTAACTTGTAAGTCGGTCTTGAACTTGCAATTTTAATGTCGCATCACGAGTTAAATTGCATGTTTAGTAAACCCTGGTTCTTACAATTTCTTTTCACTAAATTTTCATTTTGGTTTTTGAAATAGTTAGCGTCAAACATTTTAATTCCTAAAATATCAAAAATGACACGTTAGTCTCTGAATTCTATTTTTGTTTGACATTTTAATTCCTAAACTGAGACACCGCTAACAAACAGTAACAAAATACTAACATGTCAGAAAGCTAATATAACATATGCAACCATGTTTTGAATAAAAGGAAGGGTAAATGTGGCCAAACAATACATAGTTGGAAAATTTTCTTTTCTTTTTATGAAGAACCCTAATATTTTCCCCAAATCTTAAGACACAAATTGCAAATCATAACTCTATTTGGCGCTAGAAAATTTGTTGTACTTGCAAGAAGGAGAATTACACATGTACTTTAATATTAGCTTTGAAAAGCTCAAGTGGCTTGTTCCATTGCTTCCACAACAGCTTCGCAAGTTATATTATACAACATCATGATATTAAGAAATCAACCTAAGGCTTTGTGAGCAAAGGGTTTGAGGGGAGATATTAAAGTTGTGATGACATGATTGAATGAATAAATATGAAAATTCTTAAGATTATCACCACATGCAAATTTGGAAGAAATTAAAGTTGCTTATCAAAGACTATCAAAGGAGTACAGTTGAGACACTACTTTTCTTTCTCTCAAAATTGCCTCTGAAAATTTCATGAAATTGAAAGAGATTTATGACATTTTTAGCAATGAAAAGATTAAAAGATTTTATGATTAGACCTTGCTCAAGAGGCTACTAGCTACCAAGCAGAGAGGACGAAAATGAAATTAAAAGATTCCTATGAGAAAGAAGTGAAGAATTAGGAATATGTTCAACATGGTTGACTGCCTTGGTAGAAGGAACATGGACCCTAGCGATCAAGTTGTTTCTGCCCTCATTATTGATGTTTTTATAATTATTTTTGCTGTATGTTGTATTAATTACATAGTTTTCTTTAAAGATTTGAAGAAAATATTAGAGTTCTTTATAAAAAGAGAAAGAAAATTTTTTAGCTATGTATTATTTGGTCGTATTTATCCTCTATTCATTTAAAATGATATTGTATTTGTTATATTAGCTTTCTAAAATGACACTTAATATGTCATATAAGCATTTTGTTACTGTTTGTTAAAGTATAATTTATAGACTAAAATACTTAATAAAAATAAAAGTACATGATATTTTTAATATTTTAGAGACTAAAATAACTATGCTAAGGATTCAAGGGATTTGTCTTCGAACTTGACACCAAGCTATCAAGGAAAGGATAAGGCTGATTTGACTTGAAAAACTACAGGGTCTACAACAACTAGGCCGGGCCCAAACAAGTCAGAAATACCGTGTCCACTGGACAGAATTTCTTTGCTTTCTCAGATGGGATTGGGCCTTGACAACCCAGCCCAGTGAGGAGCTTCTCTACACTTTGGTAAAATGAGAGTGAACTTGGTATTGTTGTGCGTGGGTAAGAATGGGGAGCGAAGAGGAGAACGGAGAATTCTACCTGAGATACTACGTTGGGCACAAGGGCAAGTTCGGACACGAGTTTTTGGAGTTCGAGTTCAGACCCGATGGCAAGCTCCGTTACGCCAACAACTCCAACTACAAAAACGACACCATCATCCGCAAGGAGGTTTACCTCACTCCTGCCGTTCTTCGCGAGTGCCGTCGTATCATTACCGAAAGCGAGGTACCTAACTCTAACCCTTACCCACTGCACCCCTCTTTCTAGTTCTAGCAATTGTTGATGCGTATAATTTATATGCTTAGGGCTGGTTTTCCAAGGAGATGGGAGAGGAGGCTAATTTATATGTTTTTTTGATAATAAATAAATGAATAATGTATTCAGTTTATACTAATTTGTTATTTTATTTATTTGTATTCTGAAAAATTGACAAATTAAAGTTTATTTATCTGAAATGAAAATTTAACTGTATCCTGTTTAATCATAAAGCGTGAGCTTGAATAGTTCTTTTTTCCGAGTGTTTTTATCCTGTTCTTTGGCGTTTGAGTTATTGGGTTGTTCTGTTGTTTGGTTTATTCTGTGTGCTCCTTATTTGGTGTCTTTGTTCAGATCATGAAGGAAGATGATAACAACTGGCCGGAACCCGATCGAGTTGGACGCCAGGAGTTGGAGATTGTGATGGGGAATGAGCACATCTCTTTCACCACTTCAAAGATTGGATCACTTGTGGATGTTCAGAGCAGTGCAGATCCAGAAGGTCTTCGTATCTTCTACTATCTTGTTCAGGTCAGATGAATGCTTTATGATTTTTTACTAATTTATATTGTGAGTTCTTGGATTTTTTTGTTTTATATATAGACCCTGTTTGAGTGAACTTATGAATAAGTCCTTGTAAGAGAAGAAAGACAATATAAAAAATGAATAAAATTTCTTTTATAAGTTAAAAATAACTTATCTTTTTAAGTTGTAGAGAAGTTAAATGGGAGTAACTTCTAAAAGTTTGAAAAGTATAAGTTAATTTTAAATTATGAATGATTTTTATTAATTTTTTATATTGTTTTTCTTCTCTTACAAGAACTTATCCACATTCTTAACCAAAAAGGGCTATTGTCTGTGTATTGTGCCTTTCCTTCATCATTGATTAAGATAAAGTGAATATGATAGTTATTTTCTTCTGTCCTTTATTCTCTACCTTTCCATCTCTAAGTTTTAGTGTTAAATATTAGACGTAAAAAGCGTCCTCTCATTATAATTAGGTCTAGTTTGGATAAACTGCTCAATAAATACTTACAGGAGTAAAAAATAAAGTAATAAAATGAATAGAACTCCTTTCATAAGTTAAAATCAACTTATATTTTTGTATGTTTTTTAGAAGACCTCTCATTGAACTTCTATAAAATTTGAGGAGATATTATTTTTAACTTATGGGAAAAGTTTTATTCATTTTTTATATTGGTTTTTTTCTCTTATAAGGACTTCTCTAAAAATTTACCCAAACTGGGCCTTAATCTCATATATCATTCAGTGATGAATTATGTTTTGATTCTAAATATGATATACAAGAGAATTCCTACACAGAAGAAAGAACTTGGTCTTCCCAAAGGAATTGAAATTTTAATGTGTTGAATATAATAAATATTCAAACTTGAGCAACAAAGAAGAATACTTCTCATATAATCAATGTTATATTTTGCTACCATTTTCATTAGATTATTTGTAAGATATCTCAAATTCCAATACTGCCTCCGAAAAAGTTGTGATTGATAGAGCTGCAGTGTGTTCTGAACCATTATATTGCATAACAAATTTCTTAATGTGTTGTGGTTCATGTCCTATTTTTGATGCACTGGTTTGTCATTCTAGAATGCTGTTCTTGGGCTTAGCTTGAACATTGATTTGTGCCATAGGATTATCTTTACGTGTAATGGGTTTGGATTTGTTTGCAATCCAAATTGAATCAAATGAAAGGCATTTCTATGGTTCTGTGAATTTACGTTAGAATCTGTTTAGAAGACAAATGTCTTATGGTTATGCAATTTGTAGTACTTTAAGGGGAATTATGTTATGTATTAAATGGACAAAATTAACTTAGAAAAGAACTCTGCCTAGTATGAAATCTAGAATTTCTTTGGTATGAAATTGTGTGGTACTGATAGGAACAGAATGATGTATAAGGGGGTAGTATTATTGATGAATCCAAAGATAGTGAGCCTGAGCTCTTAGTATCTTATAAATGAAAAACCAGGGCCTAGGCTCCTCACCTCAGAGAATTAGTATTCTCTGTCCAACAACAACTTGAAAACAATACCTCTCTCTCTCCTTTCTCTCCCTCCTCCTATTAGCACAATGTATGGCAGAACAAATTGGCCAGCTTAGCAACATGTAACTAACTCTCATCCCCAACACACTTTCTATCTTATGTGTGTACACTTTCCATATTTTGGGCTTCCCATCAATAGAGCCCACCAACTGATATAACTCCTGTTCTAGTTCATGATCCACATTACTCATATTTGGTACTATAGCCTAGTTTGGGTAAACTTCTAGAGAAGTTCTTATAGAAGAAAAAAAATGAATGAATAAAACTTCTTTCATAAGTTATAAACAATTTATGAGAAGTTTACTATTGACTTAGTCAACAATAGTAAGAATTTTTTGCACAATTAGGTAGTGTTAGCAGTAGCCCTCTTATCACCTTAAAGACTTTCGTAGTACAGAAATGCATATCAAATCAAACTAAAGACCTAATAAGAACCAAAACTGGTATCAATTATGCACAAACAAGTGGCTTAAGCCGAACAATAACAAAACAGAAATCGATGTGTATTGAAATGAAATAAAAGGAATTGCAGTGGAAAAGAATTCCAATTGCCACAGAGAAAAGCACCTATAGAGAGCTATGACTCTCTATCCATAACAAACTAAATGATTATTTTACGGAAAGATACCTCCTCTTCCTGAACTCCCCTATTTAACACCCAAAACATGCAAGCATGTAACAACCCACTAACCTCCACCTTCTCTCTGTGCCAACTCATTCCCACATTCCTTTTTGAACCCTTTATAATTTTTTTCTTCCTAATATAGATTATAGACCTTCCACACCTTTGGGCCTGCCTCCTCATTCTGGACTCTTATCAAAAACCACTTAAAAACTGAACAGAAATGCCTTCCTTGATGAGGGTCTGGGAAAGCCAGTAAACGAAGACCGAAAATAAGCAAACCTAATATAAATCAATATTATACTTGGACCTAAAAAACAGTAATATAGTTAATTTGAGAATCTTAGTTTCATAATTCTGTTATCAATTTTAATTCATATTTGAGAATTCCTTTGTTCTTTGCTTTTCATGTTTTAATGATTATATTTCATCATGTTTTAGATTATAATGATTTGTGTGTCCTGTTTGTGATGTTATTAGTTTATTTTACTTGTATTTTTTAGCTATTGGTTTGCTAAATGCTTGATTTACTTTATGTCAACTAATTCCTTTGGTTTATTCTTATTTTTAACTACTGTTTGCAGGATTTGAAGTGCTTTGTCTTCTCTCTAATTTCACTTCACTTCAAGATCAAGCCTATATAAGATGTAGACATTTGCAATGTTGTGTATTCATCCTCTCGTGGAATGTCTACATGTTTAACTAAGTATCCGTTTTTGCTAATGGAGTTGGACATCTGATAGAGTGACATGCATTACACTCGTGAATATGATTTGGTCTGTATTGGTGGTTACATGAATTAGGAAACTTCAGATTTGAGTGAATGACTCTTGTTCCAAAATGTTGGCAGGATTGGTAGTACAAAGGTTGGTTGGATTGGTTTTTATGCAGCGTTTAGTTATTCCCTCTTTTTCCCCTTGCTTCTATGGTGGAGCATCTAAAATGTTACATTGGGAGTTGCTTCTGTGTGTATCAAATGCGTACGTGCAAGAATTTATCAGGATTTCCTTAACCATCCAGAATGCTTGCAGCAAGTACTGATGATATCTTCTATATTTAGCCCATGGTTGCTAATTTAGAGCAATATTCCATTATTTTTCGAATACGCACCTCGTTGGAAAAAAAGAAAAAAGAATAAGCACTTTGTTTCTCCATCGTGGTTTTGCCTTTTTAAGATCAAGTGGTTTACCTTGCACGTCCCATGGTGTAGAAAAGTTGTCACATGTACAAATATAAAAATTTTATTAAAACATTTTTATTTAAATATCTAACTTTTTTTTTTAAATTACTAAATAACAATTTGAAGGGATTATCTCAGTTGGAGAACCCTATCGTATTTCTTAATAGTGTTGTATTATATTGGTTAATTTAGGCACCTCAAATTGATTAGAAATATAAATAAGTGATTAATTCGATTTATTACTGGTTAATTGTGTGCACCTCAAAACAGCTGGAAAAAAAAATATTTTGTCTTGCTAGGACCATTCTTTCCTCTTTTTTGGGTGCATCTGGGCCGGGAACCTGCTTGACCCTTCGTTTCAGGCAAAAAAGTTGCCCAATGCCCACACTTTCTTCCATATGAACATATGCCGACCAGATGTCATTTCAAAGGTCAGCTTGATAGTTATGTTTAAGTCTCACTTGAAAATATAGAAGTACCTTGCACAGACCCCAACCAAGTAATGCTTTTCTAAACCTTTCAGTTTGAGTTTAGGGAGTAGAATTTTGAACTCAATCTAACCCATCTTGCAATTTAGTATCCATATCCGTAGTGCTAAACCTTAACAATGATCAGCGCCCAACCCTATGACCAAATAAATTATAAGCAAAACAGACCAAAATGACAAGTGATAATAAAAATTAACATGATATCCACTCTTGGACATTATTATGCACACACTATGTATAACATTGAATTTTCTTTGTATTTCTCATACTATAACATTAACAACTTTACAAGCCGCTAATCCTCATATTTTATTCAATGGGAAGAGGATTAGACCACCTTCTCTTCACCTCTGATTTCCATCTCACCTCTTTAAGCTTTCCATCCAATCCATAGTCTCTCTCCATCACAAGGTTGATTCCTTCATCAGAGTACCAACCAACTCCAATACAAAGAATGCCCTCCTTGTTAATGTCAACATAGCATGTCACACCCCCAGGAAGCCATAACATGGTCACATCTTGCATGTCCAACCTTTCCTCCTCGCCAAAGTAGTTGGTGTTCTCAGGGAGGTTCCTCTTCTTCAGATTCTCTGTACAAAGGTAGACGTACGGGGTGCCATTGCTTTCTTCTGCCTCATTCTCCTCACCATACACTGGCATAGCACTGACCTCAAACACTTTCCATGACCCTGTCAGCTCCGATGGCTTGGTTCGTTTTCTTTGAGAAAATGGCTTTAAATCAAACTCCAAATCACTGTTTCAAATGCAACATGCATTAGTGAGAAAGGAAAAGAACAGTGTAAGATGTTCTGAAGCTTAATGACAAACTATAAGAACTAAATAAGTGCTTCATAGTCACAAAAAATGGTATGATATGTCAATAAAGCATGAGTACCTTGGATCATCAACACAAGTAGGACTGACCCATACTTCTTCATACACAGCAACTCTCATTATCTGTATGTCTGAACCACAGTTAATGAATTCTATAGTATGGACGACTCGGATCCTTTTGTGGCAGCCTTTCACCAAACACTGAAGAAGGAGGATTTGTGAAACAGAGAAATTATAACTCTTACTGATGAAATATTAGTTGAACATACATCTTTTTGTGTTAATTTCAGGGAGGGAGAGAGGAGCTAGTGGTCTAAAAATAACAAATGCATTTGCGTAAATAATAACCTTAACCATGGGATTCTCTAAGTAGCATGGAAGACTTACTTGTTCAAACTTGAAAGTTGGTGTGATATAGTACTGGGTATCATCATATTCACCCACTGGAATATCTACAGGACCTCTAGAATAAGATCCATCCTGAAATTTGTTGAACCATAATTATTATGAAATACAAAGGGGAGAAAAATAAATGAACTACTAAATACAGCAATATTAAAAGTAAAGCTAATAGAGTAAGTGTTTCATAATGGTGGATGTATATGTTCGCAAGACCAGACCAATTATTGGTCATTTAATATCCTTGAATTTCATTAGAAAGTCGAATGCAACAACACAATGATGTCCACTCCATAGAAGTAACTAACTAGGCAGGCCATTTTATCCAACTATAGCAAATGAGCCAAACGGCCTTTGGATGTGCAAAAAACAGGATTTGCAAGAATTTACTCTGATAACTTTTTCAGTTAGAAAACCAACTCCTACAAAACAGCACATGATGCATTTTCATCAAGGCTAAGGGAACAAGATGGTCAAAGATGAAAATGGTACTCTGCATAGAAACAGACCAAAAGTCCAAAACCTCAGATCAAACTCACAATTGGCCTAACTCACATTATGTCCTCTTCACAGCATTCTAGGATTTCTGTGATAGTTCACTAGCCATGCTCACTAACAATTCAACCAGCTAGCAAAGGGAAATCGTGTAACTTCTTCAAACCATAAAGATTTGTTGACAAAATCATGCTGTCTATTTTTTTCAGTCATACATGATAAGTTATTTTTTTAAACTTAATACATTCTTTTTCTTGTCTGACATGGAGGTCCAACTTCGAGTTTCATCACAATTTACAAGTTCATGTGTGTGACTCTCCTCCCCGTGGAGCTTTCTATAGTTATTCTTATTAGTCAATTAGTTCATTTCATTATTTTCCAAGTGCGGAGGCATTCAAGTCCGAGTAAATCATTCCAACCCTTCTTCCTTATATTATTTGTTTAATTGTTTTACAAGTTATTGTTCCTATCCTTATTCCTACAAGGATTATATAGGAGCTTCTATTAATAAAGAAAATCCTCCTTCAATATCTGAACCAATTTCTATCAGTATGCCACAGATGTGAGTATTTGATCAAACAACAGCATAGATGACTCAACTGAGACTATCTAAAACTCTATTTGTTAACTACACTGCACAAGTTCAGTGAAGCAACTGACAAAAATGTGTACCAAGATAGTTTGTTTGAAAACTCAATGGTTGACCATATTAACATTTGTATGGCCGACCAAGGATTGTATGGTAGAAAACGAAAGAAAATATACACAAGAAGGTAAAAGCCTCACCACTACTAAGTTAGAAAAGAAACAACCTAAAGGACATAACAAATATGTTTTGGCAACAGAAAAAGTATATTTCAATCTATTACAACGTAAAATTTCAGAGGTTTAATTTCACTGAACCAGGAAAAGGTCATCCTTTTATTTCTATGTAGCAGTGGGGAAATAGTGTTCTGTTTTGCAAGGAAACCACATGATAAATACTAAAAAAATATTATAACATATCCTCTTAAACAATAACTCACCTTCCATAAACAAATTTATACTAGCATGAAAAGAATCTTACTTCAAAGTAAACAAGGCCTGGCTCACAGCCCATGACATCTTCTTCCATCACATCACTTCTTTTAAATTCAAAGGATTCAAATGTAGGCAAAACATGATTTGTTACATTTTCACTGGGTTTGTGCTTCACATCCTTGGATACATTGCTGTCTTCAATATGCTGTGGTATTTCACCATACGGATTCAAACTCACCCAGTTAACCTTTCTCTGAATTTGAGATGTATGTTCACCAGTGAGCGATTGTACTGCCTCTATACGGGAAAGAGTATAGCAGTCATATAGGTTTTCATTCTTGCTACCTATATCCATTGGCTCCATTTCAGCAGTGATGGGAGAAAACACAGCACCTACACCCTTCCAAACTCCACTGAGACTGCTGGCAAATGTGTTCCAAACTGGTTTTATCACTGGTTCCTGAAAGAGTACCCACTCGTCAGTATAATGCTCATTGTAATATGAAGTAGGAATGATTTCCATACCATGTTATCATCTTCAATCTAAGTAAGAGCAAATATATGAATACAAAGGAAGAGTAAAGACAATAATCCATACTCCATGAAAACAATCAACAGTTAAGGGGCTATTTGATTTCAGAGAGCGTTTTATATTTTCTTTTTCTTTTTCACTTTTAATCACAAAAATGCCACTTCTAATTTAAAATTATCCACTATTTTAAATTAGTAGACTCACTCAGAACTCAAAGGCACATGCGTAGGGATATGATACCAAGCACTACTCATGTTTATATATATCCACAATTACACACAATTTACTTATTCCTTTCTTTTTTAGTCATTTCATTGTTAACAAATCCCAGCTTTCTCGTACATTCAAAGTCCATTCACCAATTCAAATGCAATTTCAGACCCCCCCCCCCCCCACCACATCAATTCTCTTCCCCAGACAAAACAAAATATGAAAACTTTGCATCAAAAATTTCAAATTTAAAGCGACCCAATTGAGTAAAACTGTACCTGAGTCTGAAGAACAGTTTCAACCTCGACCAACATAGCTCCAGAGACAATGACCCTTCCACCCTTCGGTCTCTTCCTCTTCACCATCCTCCTCCCTCTCTGCTTCCTCCTCTTCTCCTTCTGAGAAGAAGCAACCTTGGCAAGCTCGTTGTCGATGCTCCAAACGTTGTCCTTGTTGCCCTTCACTCTCACACCACTCTTGTTCTTCTTGTGATTGGGTTTGTGGGCCATGGCTACTGTGAACCTTGTGGAACATGGTTTTGGGGAGAAGGAAAGAGATGGAAATGTATTGTGGGTAGAAGAGAGGGTGTGGCTAAAGCCAAGGTGTTGGTGATGGGGGTGGTGTGGGGTGAAGGTTCTGGGGAGGTAGAGGGAAGGAGATTGCATGTTCGTGAGTTTGGATGAACACAAAAACCACTTTTCTTTTGAACTTGGGGAGAACCAGCAACCTAGTATCAGCAGAGCAAATGGAAAAAAAAATGTTTTTTTCTTTTTTAAATTTCTTAAATATATTTGGTGCTATTTTTAATCATAATTGAATTTTATCTCAGTGTATCACTTAAATGAACTATAAATATATATTTGTGATAAAAGTCAAATATAAGCAATAATAATATTTTTAACTTTTTCAAAAATTAATTAATTTTTAAATGCTTACTTAATTTTGGCTTATACATTTTAGTTAAAATATAAATTTAGTCCTTATACTTATCTTTTAATTTTAAATTGATCTTTGCACTTAAAAAATTATAATTAAATTTTAATAAGTGAATAATTTTTTTAATAAGTATTTGATGTCAAAAGTCTCTTTTTATTGTATGTAGATTGTAGAAGGCCTTGTGCATGTTTTACAAGGTTAGAATGTAATGGACATATAATTACTCTAAAAGCTTAAATATGATCACTGTCGATTGTCGAAGCTCACAAACTATTAAAAATGAGAAACACCTATTGGCACCAAATTCATGTTTTAATAATTATTTATTTTTACAATAATTAATAATTATTTTAATTGGTTGATAATTTAAAATTTTTTACATGTACTAAAATTAAACTCATAAAATAAATATAAGATTTTGGCATGTACTAAAATTATTTATTAAGTTACTTAAAAATGTTATATATAACATATAATTCATTATGCATTACCCTCACTACTGATGAAAATTCAGCTAAAAAATTGATTGAATTGCAAAACTATACAGAGGGCAAGAATCATTTCCTATGTGGCAGAGATATTCATGTAATAAAACAACAAGAGACAATCCCATTTCATAAAATCCTATGTGTAGGAATTGTTCAGCTCAGATAGACCAAGCAAAGCCTTAGCAATTGTTTTGCTACTGATAGGAACTGAAATTCATTATGGGAATTATATGAAAAAACAGAGAACCTATATCTGATTACAGTAGAGAAAATGTAAATAAAAGAAAATAGCAAACACAATAAATTTAATTCATTCATACCTTATATATTATATTTTAATAATATTTATTCTATATAAATAATATATTCGATTATATATTGGGCAATTCATCAAACACAATAACTGTTTTAATCATCAAAATTTTCTTAAAATTATTATACCTTCTAAGACCCGAAAATGGAAGCTTCTAGCGGCACTGTTACAAAATAAAAGAGCGGGACAAACAAAACATTTTGGAAACTCTTCATAATCTTCTAATCCCTTAAGGAAACAACGCCAATTCGAAGAAGAAGAAGTGAATAACCGAATAGAAACAACGTCACATGATGTCTCTGTCTCTCTTATTCCCTCCCAATCCAAACCCTTTCTCTTCATTCTCTGTAAGTCTCTTTGCTACGCTCTTTCCCTTCATTTTCACGCTTTTTTCTCACTTACGTGACGATGTTGTTGCAGCATCTTCATTTGAAGAAGCGAGTGGCATTTGGGCTTCGGAGAAAGGCACAGTTTGTGGTGAGTGCCGGTCCTAAGAAGATTTTGTTCGGTAAAGAATGCAGAGAGGCTTTACAAGTTGGAATTGATAAACTCGCCGATGCTGTCTCTCTTACCGTTGGCCCCAAAGGTATATATTTCATTTTTACTCATAATAAATTGTTTGTGTTTGAATTGATTCGATTTTATTCCTAACTGTGCAGGACGTAATGTGATTCTTTCTGAATCTGAAAAACTTAAAGTGATCAATGATGGTGTTACAATTGCTCAGTCCATTGAGCTTCCTGATGCAATTGAGAATGCAGGTGCCATGCTAATTCAAGAGGTTGATCATGGTGGTTAGGGTTGGATGAATTTTGAAACAAAATTAGCCTCAAATGTGTTTGTACACTTATTTTTAACTTTATTTTTTCTGCTTCTAGGTTGCAAGTAAAATGAATGACTTGGCTGGTGATGGTACTAGCACAGCAATTATTTTGGCTCGAGCCATGATTAAATCTGGACTATTAGCAGTTGCTTTTGGGGCTAATCCTATTTCTTTGAAGAAGGGAATGGATAAGACTGTGAAGAATTTGGTCGAGTTCTTGAAGAAGAGAAGTGTTCCAGTTGAAGGAAGGGATCATATTAAAGGTCTTTGCTTCTGCTTGTTTGAATTTTGGCAAAGTAAGGGGTTTTGTTCACAAGAAAGTATTGAAGGTGTTTCTTTCTCCTTTTGCAGCTGTAGCCTCAATTTCTGCTGGAAATGATGAATATGTTGGTAACTTGATTGCTGAAGCTATGGAGAAGATTGGTTCTGATGGGGTGATCTCTATTGAGTCTTCCCCTACGTCTGAAACCTCTGTGATAATTGAAGAAGGGATGAAGGTATTGATAATAATAATAATAATAATACTCAATAAGCAGCAGCAGTTCTTCTTGCACAGATCTGAATAATCCTTGATGTGTTGCCTTATTATAGTTGTTTGTTTCTTTTTGTACAGATTGACAAGGGTTACATGTCTCCTCACTTCATTACAAACCAGGAGAAGTCCATTGTAGAGTTTGACTGGGCTAAAGTTTTGGTAACTGATCAAAAGATTTCGAATGTCAAAGAAATAGTTCCTTTGCTGGAAAAGGCTATGCAGTTGAGTGCCCCACTCTTAATTATTGCAGAGGATATCACTGGACAGGTGTTGGAAACATTAGTAGTGAACAAAATGAAAGGATTACTAAGAGTTGCAGTTGTAAAATGTCCTGGATTTGGAGGTGCAAAGAAAGCTTTGTTACAAGATATTGCACTTATGACGGGTGAGTTCCTGCAGTCTTTGATGAGCTTGGTTGATATTTCTGCCAACTTCCTCTATATTAGGGTTATGCTCCCTATTTTGGAATTCTTTCATGAAGCCTATGAGGTTATGTGTCCAGTAGTTGAGTATGTTCTATGGGGTGCTGTTAAATTACGGAGTTTTTTTTATACATTTGACAGTATCTGTATGAGAATAGGTTTTTTATTGACAATATGTATTTTTGTTAAACGGTTCTCATCTATTGGCAAGAGTCTTATGCAAGGTGCTGACTTGTTTGACCTCTTAACATTAACTCCACAGGTGCTGACTTTTTTTCTGGAGACCTGGGTCTTACACTTGAAGGTGCAACATCAGACCAGCTTGGCACTGCACTGAAAGTGACAATAACCAGTAATGCAACAACTATAATTGCAGATCCTAGCACTAAGGCTGAAATTCAGGCTAGAATTTCACAGATTAAGAAGGATATAATTGAAACAGATAACGCATACCTGTCGAGAAAGCTCTCAGAGAGAATTGCAAAACTCACTGGTGGTGTAGCTGTTATAAAGGTACCGAATTCACTAATCTCTGTATCCTGCACACCTCAGCTCTTTACTTTGCTAAGGTTGCTTTAGTATTTCTTACTGTATTCAAAATCAATTGTCATTAATTACCCTTAGATTTTATGTATTATTGGATCATAGTGTTTTTCAACATCTAATTCAATGGTAGTAGTTATGTGATGTATTTATCAAGAACTTGTGCCATTGCCAGTCAAATGACTCAAATCCGAATTGTGGCCATTCTATTTTTTCCTATCCTTTGTTGTAGGGTTCTGAATTCTATGAGATTGGATCTTTTAAAAGCACAAAGATAATATAAATCTAGATTTGGTGCCACATAGATAACATTCTTCTTTTTGTCAGCACTATTTTTTTTTTTCGGAGGGCAAGCCTTGGCATAACAGTAAGGTTGTTGCCTTATGACTTGAGGTCATGGCCGCCTCACAGGTTCAATTCTGGAAACAGCCTCTCCGGTTGTGGGTACGAGATTGTGTACATTAAGTCTCCTAGACCTCACTAGGTGGGAGTGGGAGCCTTGTGCACTAGGTTGTGGTTGTCCTTATATTCGTAATTTTTTAGTGTGAGGATTTTAGAAAATAAAGTATGCTAGTAAAAATAGAGTTTGAATTGATTTATTTATTTCTTAATTATAGGGCTTTGTTCACCATTTTTCTGGATTCTATGGAAGAAGTGTTGCTTGGATATTTATCCATTGATCCTTGTATAAAGTATAGGTTATGCATGGGACCAAGTATGCCATTGTGCTAAACTGCAAGAGTCTTACTGACTTTCTTTTGTTTTCCATATTCACAATTCCTGATTTTAATTTTTTGTACCGAAACAAACACCTGTCATCTTAAATTTTGCTCACAAAATGTTACTTTAACATTATTTTCATGCTCAAGTGTTTAGTACATAATGCAATAACCAATTGCATAGGTAGGCGCACATACTGAGCTAGAACTTGAAGATAGAAAACTTAGAATTGAGGATGCCAAGAATGCAACATTTGCTGCCATAAGTGAGGGAATTGTTCCTGGAGGAGGTGCCACGTATGTCCACCTGTTGGACTTGATACCTCCAATAAGGAACTCCATGGAAGACCTAGATGAGCAAATTGGTGCTGATATTGTAGCAAAGGTATGGTTACACTTTTTAGTCTACTAGTTCTCTATCTTACCTCCATATGTATCTTCTTTTATGGAATTTACATATGGTGAATGTTCTAATATTACTTCCATGTAATATATTTCTCTTTCTCTGCATGAAAAAGAAAATTTTGAAGTACAAGAGTTTTGACCATTGTTTCCAAATTTTCTCATCTCCCCCATGAACCCCAAATTGGGGCATGCACATCAATTTTTGGTATTTTTTTCGTGATAATTTGATGCCATTAATGATTTGGGACATAGCAATTGACGTTGGGGAAGCAAAAACAGTGAAGCACCATGTTACCTCAAGGGTCTTGATATTCCAGCTCTTTGTTGCCTCAAGAAATGCTTTCAACATGACGTTGTGACTCTGGCAGTAAGAAGGGGGTGCATGACTACAGGTTGCAGTCATGGAATGGTCTGTTCTATCTTTCCTCTATTGACATAGAAACCACCATGGACTACTCCCACAGACCAATAGCAACCACTGGCCTTTTCAGATTATGTTGCCTAGCCTCTATGACTTTTCTTGACACCATGCTCTCATCCGAAGATCGTCGGTCAACTCTACTTAATTAGTTTTTAGGTGCCCAATTAGGTTTATGGATTTTGTATGTCGGTCTGAATTGGGCTTATTTAAGCTAGACTAGTTTAGCACAAGTTTTGAAATGTATAGGCCTCTTGCATTTCATGTTAAGCTAGGTAATTAATAAAAAAATATTAATATAGCGAACCCAAATAGTGTACAGCAAACTTAAATAGCGTACCAATTAGGTATACCCTTCGCGTACCATATATTTTATATAGTAAGGACATCCTTTATCCAAAAGTGTTTGCAGAGGTGCCACTTCTATCCCCTGGAGATTGAGGGGTGTGTCAAGCTCCTGTGCATCTTTACATTGGGTTCGTCATGTAGCATTACCCTCTATAATTTGTTTAGCTTAGTAGTTATCATTTGTTTATTAGTTTCCGGTGAAAATGTTGAAATATTTTCTACTATTTTTTCCTCTGCACTTTCTTGTAGGATAGGATTGAGACTAGTTTTGTGGAAGGTAACATTCCTTATGAACTTGTCTTGAATGCTTTTACACATTTGTGAGTGGTTGTGCTCGTATCATTTCAGGCACTCCTTGAACCTGCAAAATCAATTGCAACTAATGCGGGAATTGATGGAGACATTGTTGTCCAGAAGACTAGACAATATGATTGGCGAACTGGATATAATGCAATGAGTGGCATATATGAAGATCTTTTGAATGCTGGAGTAGCAGATCCATGTCGAGTTGCAAGATGTGCCCTTCAAAGTGCAGTTTCTGTTGCTGGTGTGGTTCTAACTACTGAAGCTATATTGGTGGATAAAATAAAGAAACCCGAGCCACCTGTGCCCTTGGTCCCTGGCATAACTCCCTAAGATGCAGAAAACAATTCAAATTTTGAGAGCACATTTTAAGTCTTAATTGGATGAATCAAAGCTTGTGAATGTCACTTGGGTTGGCTAATACTCTGGCAGCAATAAAAATGCTCGTTTCAAGAATGGGAAGGTCAGAGGTTACTGCTTCTTACTCTTATGAATTGATGAAACCCATGTGTCATGAAGCGATTGAAACAATTAGACAAATGAAGTTCAAATGCATTCCACAGGTATTGATTAGTGTTAGGCTTATTTCTCCATTTTGTCGATTCCTTTTATAGCAACACCATAGTTGGATAATAGTTTTGTTCAAAAAAACCTGTAATATCATATTCTCTAAAGATTGTTGATAACTCGAATTTGGATGAAAGTAGTGACCTCGTGTCATGAGATCTGCTTATGCAGTTACTTTGTTCTCTTCATAAACTATATGCTTCAAAGTAAGGAAACAAGTGTTAACTTCAGTTATCTTGTCTCTAAAAAGAAAAGCAACTTTTTACATAAAAGAAAAAGTTCATACTAAATTAGATTGATTAGATTTCCTCCATATATCGAACAAATATTTCTCAATTGAATAAAAACTAAAATAATTTAATGATTTATATATATACACACACGATATAAATTTTCTATTTAATATTTGTATATATTCATAAAATTAAATTATATGTTAGTTCTTATGTTTTTGTGAGAATTTGATTTTGGTCTCTACTAAGATTTTTCTTTTAAGTTTTATTCCTAGTTTTTCTAATTCAACACTTTTAGTAATAGTGATCAATTTCAATAATTAGGAGGTTATTACATGGCAAGTTTTTGTGTCACGTATCAAATTTTTGTTGTGTCATGTCATCATATAGAAAGTATTAAATTTAGAAAAATTTAAAACTAAAATTAAAATCTCAAACATATAGAGACTAAAAGATATATTTAAATCTAAATTCTATAGTTAATTTTTTCATCAACCAAATTATATTATTAATTCCACTTGCATTTGGTCTGATGGAGATGGGGCCAGGGCTACTGAGGGCAACAATGGCTGCCAGGCATTAGCGAACTCAGATAAATGTGGTCGTGGGTTAACAGCAAGGTTGTGTATAGAATAGGGAAAATAGTGATGCTACTATGCAAAATAGTTAGATAATTTTAAAAAAACTAATTAACAAGAGATCTCTTTTTAAAAGATAAATTATCTATTTTATATAAAAAATAGTTGTAATAATTTAAAGATTATATGTTTTTTAAACGATCGCCTCTAATTGTTATCCATCAACTAATAATTTGAAATTTTAAAACGTTTTTATAAAAATATTAATCATTAATATTTTTTAATTTAATATAAAAAAGTTATTTTATATTTTAACCGTATATATGAATATAAATTGAAGCTTCTAAAAGGAAGGAATCTAGAACATGAGCAAAATAAGTGGGGAATAAGTGAGTATGCTTTTTTAAACTATTAGATGTATTTTAAAAAATATAAAAATTTAACATCTAACTTAATAATACTGGTTTTTATACGTTTATTATTTAATCCTTTTGTAAAAATTGATAAAATTATTTTTTGGACTTTCAAAATCTATTATTTTTTTCAAGTTGCATCACTTGTATGTATTTTATATCTAGGTGATGATTTTAAGAAAGTATGCTTTCATATGCATTGATTTAATTTCAATTTATAATGAAAATAACTTTTGAATTAATAGAATGTTAAATGTTATTTTAAATTTTAAGATTCTATATAAATTTTATATATAAAGTTAATGATTTTTAAAATTAAAACTTTCACATCCACTCTCAATTTATTATGAAAATAAGTTTTTATATTGATAGATTGTTCAATACTCTTTAAAATCTTTCTCATGTCCCCTCTGTATAATGATTGCTCTTGCATCACATAATTTCTGCAATTTTTACTTAAGTAATTTTTAGCTAGCTTAAGTAAAAATTACAGAAGAAAAATGACTCACTGAAATTATTTTACTTTAGCTACAAAGATATTATAATATTTACTTAAGCGAATAATATTTAGTTTAAGCTAAATTATATTGGCTTAAGCAAATTTTGACAATTTTTAGGTTTATCACTATCTATAATTCGCTTAAGCAAATTTATATTGACTTAAGCAAGTTTTGACAAAATTTATTAGCTCATCATTGTCTATAATTCGCTTAAGCGAATAATGTATGGCTTAAGCGAAAATTACAATAAATGAATTTTTTATGTTTTTTATTGTTCAACCACATTTCTTTAGTCATTATTTTTAATTACACTAAATATTAATTTCTAAGATAATTAGGATGTGTATATGATGTTTTTAAATTTAATTAGTTTCACTTACAAATATCACGATTCAAAGTATGACAATGCAAAAAGAGTAAGATTATTTAGGTTTAGAGTTTATGATAGATTTAGAAAATATGTTTGCACTTTGTTAAGAGGGAGAAATAAGAAAGAATTGAACTAATACAAGTAAAAATTAAACAAAGCATTTATGACGATATTCTAAGTGAGGATTGAATGATTTCATTCGATCTCTTGCCCTGAATATTTCTTTTTAGATTTTTATGACTTAAATTTCAATTACATTCACTCAATCTATTATCAAACTAGTCGTAGAAAGATAAAAAAAAATTAAACTTGCTTCAGAAACAAAAATGAGAATGAGTTTGAGAGAATATGATTGAATTTTATGTAAATGAAAAATTATGTTTTTTTAAAAATAGTTGTCTTCAAAAAAATATTTTAAAGAACCTATTTTAAATATATAAAAAATTAAAATATTGAATTAAATGATAAATACTGAACTTTTCAAACATGTTACAATATCTCATTTTACTTATTCGTAAGTCATATACTATACAAACTCACCGAGCTTCCGCCAAAAAGTATTTATTTTCAAAGACTTTTATAAAAATTAAAAGTTATTTTTATTTAGTTATAATTATAAAAAGTATTTTTATGTCACTGGATAATTATAATTTGAGTTCTTTTTCTTTCTAGAAACTATTCAAAACAGCTTCTCTAAAAGAGCTAAAATCATATTATTTTTAACTTCTAACTTTTTTTTAAAAATAATTTTAGCCGAACAATTTTAAAAACTGAAAAGTGATTATTTTAAGGATTTTTTTAAATAATCTTAAATATGATTTTAGTTACAATGGTAGCAATATGATGTAATTCATGAGTACAGCAATAATAGTTGAGAGACCTTACACGTTTGTGTATACATATATGAACATGTAATATAATTTTGGTACGAATAAAATAAATCTCTTTTCTACACTTTATTATTATCTGAAAATCATGTGTACATTGATTCTTTGATGGTATTAGAGTTCTGTTCATCGGAGTTCTGCTGTGCAACATAAACTTGAATTCGAACAATTCCAATAGTGGAATTTTCAATGGAGGAAATTAAAATCAGAATCTTGATCCCTTGCAGAATCCAGCTAGGTTTTATTTCATTCATCGTAATGAGAATCTTTTAACGACGTTCTCACATATAGATGTTTAGTTGGCAGACTGTTGTACCTTACAGTTATCATACCTGATATTACTTTTGTGACTCAACAATTGAGTCAGTTCATGGATAAACAAGACAGTTTTACACTATAAAGTTGCCATTCAAATACTTAGATATTTGAAACATGCGCCTGAAAAATAGTTGTTCTTTTCACGATCATCTTCCATTACATGGATACTAGACACTGAATCTCTAGTTGTTATTTCTTTTTGGGTGATTCGATTACTTGGTGTTGCAAGGAGCAAACCACTGTGACTCGATCCTCATCGGAAGGCATTGGGTGCTGCAACACGTGAACTACAATGGTTGACTTAATGATCGCGTGTCATCACCCTTCTGTTCTTTGTTGTGATAATCAAAATGCACTGTATATTGTTGCTAATCAAGTATTCATGAACGGACAAAGCATTTGACGATTGATTGTCATGTTATACGTGAGAAAGTTCAGGTTGAACGTATGAGTTTTTTACCTATTTCTACTATAATACATGTGTATACAAACTCCATGCATAGGCAAGAATAGTTGAGAGATTGTGCACCTCTATGTATAATGTACACATGTACTACAAATTTTAATATGAATAAAATACTTTTCCTTTTACACTTTGTTCTTTGAAATTTATGTGTACATTAGTTGGATAGATTTATTGATAAATATTTATAAAATAAAAAAAATTAATAGTAAAATAAAATAATTTTTTCTTAAGTTAAATAAATAAATATTACATTGAGAGAGAGTAATAGGTATCTTAATTAAATAAATATAACCTAATGAAAAATTGAAGACCTAACAATAAATTTTAAAATTAAAATAAATATTAAAAACATAAATTTATAAAATAATTTGTGGATAAATTTTATATATTTTTAGGATTTTCATGATTAGAATTTGAAGTCTCTAAAAGAGGAAAAATGTATAATCATAAAATTTACATAAAAATTATAAAATAAAATTTAAAAACTTAAAAAGGTTTAATCACCAAAAATATTTAAAATTTAAATAATATTTTCATCTCTATAGTTAGTCCCTTTAGATTATATTTCTATACAATATTTATTTTGGTTTTATCGGTTCCTTATTTATAGTCATTTTAGTTTTACTTTTTTCTTAAAGTAAGGGTATATTTACGTATGTTGTTTAATTAAGTACTTATATGATAAGTTTTTATTATATGATAATTTATATACATAAATTTATCATAAAATTTATTAAAATAACTTTTTAATAAGTTATATATAAAGAGGTAAACAATTTTTTAAAAAAATATATAAATGATCTTCATAATTTCTTTAACTTTAACCTCTTTCAAAAACAAACTATATAAAAATTGAGTCCCTAGTAATTTGATGTAATATGAACAAAAATAAAAACAAATAAAAAATATAAAGAAAAATTCTTAACGATAAGGAATGAATTCCAAATAAATGAAATTATATGAATAGATTTGCAAACTAAATTTACAGAAAACCTTCAATGAATAAAAATTATACGGATCAAAAGTTTGTTTAAAGATTTTTTTAAAAAAAAATTAAGTCTCATTATATATATTAGGAAGCTACATATTTATGAATAATTTTTAAATTTCAACCTTTTATGCATATAAATTCTCTTAATTTTAAAATTGATAATTAATATATGTAGTTTTTATTTATTACATATTTTATAAAATAGGAGGAGGAGAATTATTAGAAAAATGTATGAAAAAATATAACAAAAATCTATATTTATGCATGTTACCCCCTTTCATATCCGACATGGTTAATATTGACAGGTCATACAAAAAGCTTGTGGCTACTATTGGGGAGTGACATCTTCAAATCATTGATATAGCTTTTTCTAGAGCTAAAGCTGATTCAACTAACTTAAAATTAGTGAAACTCGTTTTAAATTAGGTATTGTTAGTTCATGTACCATATC